TAGTGTAAATAGAAGATTTTCAAGGAAAAAGGATACATTTTTAACAGAAATCATGGAAAACTACATTTTTTTCTATATTTATAATATTATGTGTCTTGTTTCAATGATATTTTTTCTATTTTTATTCTATAGATAAAAAGAAAAAAAGACACTAACATCCCAGTCTCTAACAGTCATGACAGGTATAACCTTAAGTATAGCACCAAAGTACTGGCTCATCTAAAATGCAGAAACTTGTTCAATTTTATATCAACTTTTCATGTAATTCTTGTAAAATTTTAATGATATGTAGGAGTATTTAAGACATAAAATGGACAGTGGCAAGCTTGATTCCCAGTAATCATCCACCACTTTCTTAATAATCCTTAATTACACAACAATAAGTCTGGGTTTACTATCTAAAAACCAACATTAATGATTGTTACAGATTAAACTGTAGAGACAGGAGTTTTGAGGAAAAATCAATTATTGATGTATTTTTTGTCATGTAACTTCAATTTTTTGTTTTGTGTCCTGAGTAGAGAATGAAGAATCTAGCAAATTTTCGTTGTATTTTTTGTTCATGATATTTGTGTCTAAATAAAGGGTAAAATCATTATAAAAAATTCTCCAATTTCTTTGTGTGTACTATAATCATATACAGATATATAGATATGATTTCACTAGACAAATGCTGACTGACTGACTGACCAAGGAAGCGTTGGTAATGAAACGAGATTTCCATGAAGCAAAAGCTAAGTTGAAATAGCTGTAGATTCATGTAGGTATTTATTTAATGGTATGTAAGCTTTGTCATAAACAATTAAATATGTCATATCTACAAACATACCAGTAATTGGACTATTGTTATTAATTTATTAATATTTACCGAGACAGCTGGTAATGTAAAGCAGAAAGAACAAGCAAAAACTAACTGGAAATAAATACACTGATGTTGTCTGGCTTTCAACATGTAGTGGTATTCTCTACAGTGGAAGTAACTGGAAATAAATACACTGATGTTGTCTGGCTTTCAACATGTAGTGGTATTCTCTACAGTAGAAGTTATTATCTATAAAATCATATTATAACTATTTATCTGCTCAAAATGCTGTGATATTAAATTGCACGATATGTATTTCCAGTGTATATCATAATACATTCACCTGGTAGTAGGTCCAGGGTAACATAATATTTACATTATCTATAAATTTTACTATATTTTAATATATTCATATATAACATAATATCAGATATGTTTATGTTTTTGTCCACGGTATGTATAAATGTAGCTGATCCGGTGCGCTGATAACAGAAATCTTAAGTACATAAGTATTAATTTTACTATTGTCAACAAACTCTCAGTCTACATAGTTAATTACATTTGTAACCAGTATTGATTTACAAATCAATGATCACCAAATACATGTTACAAATATGTCTGTTGAGATCTGTTAGTCTAGTAAATTGTAAGTGTTCTATCACACAATGAACATAATATCAACATCTTCACTACTTTATACTCTTAACCTCCCAACACCAACTAGAAATAAAACATACTGGTATTTACAGATATACAATAATAAACAATGTACACAAAGTATACTCTTATCACTCCCCATAATGTCATTGCTATCATACTGATATTATGACTCTAATCACTCCCCATAATGTCATTGTTATCATACTGATATTATGACTCTAACCACTCCCCATAATGTCATTGTTATCATACTGATATTATGGCTCTAATCACTCCCCATAATGTCATTGTTATCATACTGATATTATGGCTCTAATCACTCCCCATAATGTCATTGCTATCATACTGATATTATGGCTCTAATCACTCCCCATAATGTCATTGCTATCATACTGATATTATGGCTCTAATCACTCCCCATAATGTCATTGCTATCATACTGATATTATGGCTCTAATCACTCCCCATAATGTCATTGCTATCATACTGATATTATGACTCTAATCACTCCCCATAATGTCATTGCTATCATACTGATATTATGACTCTAATCACTCCCCATAATGTCATTGCTATCATACTGATATTATGACTCTAACCAGTCTTCATAACATCACTGTTTTCAGTCCCCATAACATCATTGTTCATTAGTCCCCATAACATCACTGATCATCAGTCCCCATAACATCACTGTTTTCAGTCCCCATAACATCACTGTTCATCAGTCCCCATAACATCACTGTTCATCAGTCCCCATAACATCACTGTTCATCAGTCCCCATAACATCACTGTTCATCAGTCCCCATGACATCACTGTTCATCAGTCCCCATGACATCACTGTTCATCAGTCCCCATGACATCACTGTTCATCAGTCCCCATGACATCACTGTTCATCAGTCCCCATGACATCACTGTTCATCAGTCCCCAAAATATCACTGTTCATCAGTTCCCATAACATCACTGTTCATCAGTCCCCATAACATCACTGTTCATCAGTCCCCATGACGTCACTGTTCATCAGTCCCCATGACGTCACTGTTCATCAGTCCCCATGACATCACTGTTCATAAGTCCCCATAACATCACTGTTCATAAGTCCCCATAACGTCACTGTTCATCAGTCCCCTTAACATCACTGTTTACATATATATGTGTATATATAATATATATAATATGTTATTGACAATAACCTGATCTTACCTATGTAATTCAGTAATTATCTACCGGGTTAGATATATTTATTTATTATAATTACATATATATATACAAATTAAATATAAATTCATTGACTTACTATGATATGTAAAGACAAGTATGATTAACATTCAAGATATTAAACAAGCAATTTAATAAAGGTTAGATATATAAATATGTCAGCAATGTAAAGAGCTGTAATTTTGCTATAGATTAGGGTTATGAACAATGAATGGCACAAAAAAGGAAAATTCTAGTTTAAAAGAATAAATAAGCATATAGATAACAATACATACTGTAAACAAAATGTTTACCAGGTAACCGTTTATCACATGTAAACAACAACTTAGAAAATCACAGACAGTAAAATAATGGTTCATTGGTTTTTAAACAAAATAAATTAAGACATAAGATTTTACATATCGACTGGAACAGCCTTCTATACTTATCACATTACTTCTATTTTAAATAGCTCTATGGTTTCTCATCTTAACACGTTCCAGGAAATTTATATTCTACAGCAGAGATCATAACTAAAGGTAAGAATGTATAAAGTTAATGTTCCCCATAATTCTACACTGACAGTATAATGTTCCCCATAATTCTACACTGACAGTATAATGTTCCCCATAATTCTACACTGACAGTATAAAACCATGGTAACAGTAATATTCCCCATAATTCTACACTGACAGTATAATGTTCCCCATAATTCTACACTGACAGTATAATGTTCCCCATAATTCTACACTGACAGTATAATGTTCCCAATAATTCTACACTGACAGTATAATGTTCCCCATAATTCTACACTGACAGTATAATGTTCCCAATAATTCTACACTGACAGTATAATGTTCCCCATAATTCTACACTGACAGTATAATGTTCCCCATAATTCTACACTGACAGTATAATGTTCCCCATAATTCTACACTGACAGTATAATGTTCCCCATAATTCTACACTGACAGTATAATGTTCCCCATAATTCTACACTGACAGTATAATGTTCCCCATAATTCTACACTGACAGTATAATGTTCCCCATAATTCTACACTGACAGTATAATGTTCCCCATAATTCTACACTGACAGTATAAAGTCATGGTAACTATAATGTTCCCCATAATTCTACACTGACAGTATAATGTTCCCCATAATTCTACACTGACAGTATAATGTTCCCCATAATTCTACACTGACAGTATAAAGTCATGGTAACTATAATGTTCCCCATAATTCTACACTGACAGTATAATGTTCCCCATAATTCTACACTGACAGTATAATGTTCCCCATAATTCTACACTGACAGTATAATGTTCCCCATAATTCTACACTGACAGTATAAAGTCATGGTAACTATAATGTTCCCCATAATTCTACACTGACAGTATAATGTTCCCCATAATTCTACACTGACAGTATAATGTTCCCCATAATTCTACACTGACAGTATAAAGCCATGGTAACTGTAATATTCCCCCATAATTCTACACTGACAGTATAAAGCCATGGTAACAGTAATATTCCCAGTTCAAAACTATTCTTCCTGGAAAATTTCTATTTTTGAAATTGTTTTATTTTAAAAAAAAACAAAACATTTCTGAAACAGTTTAAAATTTGCTACATATGAAGGTATTGCATTTTGCGATGTGGAACTAGAAGAGCAAAATGAAGCTTACATAACTACATTCACAACGCTATGAACACAATTCTGCAGGTAGTGTTTTATATGGGCCATCAGAGGAAATGTAAAAATATAAAATAAGATTGGTTGAAAAACAGACTTTCAAAGTAGAAATACTCACTAGATGAAAGATTTACCCGTGAAAAATGTGCGAGAGAAAATAATGAGTTACTGGTATTAGATTTTATCATAGACATCATGATAAAGTAAAATAAAATTTCCCTCACTCTTTTACAAACATGCATAGACATAGTAATAAAACAATGTTGAGGACTTATTTCTTGAGTATTTCTTAACTTATCCATGTCAGAAGTAATATTATCCTGTAACTGAACACTTAAATTGACACGGAAGTTATAGTACTGGCAAAAAGAACTGATTTTTTTCATGATTTGTAAAACACTATGATGGAAATTAAAGAAAATCTCTGTTTTTTGTAAAACTGCCAATTATCTTTCTATATGTTTGAAAAAAACCAGCATTAGCTCATAATCTCCTTTAAAGAACCTCTTCAGGCTTGTCAAATGCGCTTCCCTGGCGTTGCTTAACAATGTGTTGTTGTCAAAATTCACAAATACCTACACCTTTGTAATTGTCCTACCAAGATCAGCAACTAGATCTTGAGACATACAAAACATACAGCTTTTTTACTGCGCTTTAGCCTCCTCCTCCTGTTCTAACTCAAGGCCTTTCAATTTCCGGCGCAGGATATCTACCAGTCTTTCTAACCTAAACAAAAACAATATAAGTTTACTGATAGCCATACAGGGAAAATTGATAGATTCTCATACACCCAGATATTACAAATTGATGTAATTTAGATTACCTAGTCTCTCACTGTGTCATCAAACTTAAAGTTTATGAAGACGCTGTCTTTAACAAGTTACGCCTATTTCCTCTCATGTATCTGTCAGTCTGCCAAATTTTTTTATAAAATGGCATTGATAAGAAGGCATTCAAAACTTATTCATAATTCATAATTATCAGAAGATACATGTAGATTTATCATAGAATTAACGCTGAAATACACACATAAACCTAAACAAGCTGTAAGTTGGACGATACATAAAGTGGCACATACTTTACAATTTTGTCTTTGCTCTCCTGATGGGCATGTTCTAGTTTCTGAAGATCTGCCTCCAACTGAATGTTTTCATGTTCAACTTCCCTTAACTGTGCCACACTTGTGTTGCTTTCCTTTTTCTCTTGGCCTCCCTCCCTGTTGCCATCTCTTCCAAGGTTTGAATTTCCACTTTGGAAGGTGTTCACCTGATCATTTGAATCTTTTGATAAAGATTTGTGTAAGCTGAAAAACGAATAAAAGTTTATGATTAACGATTCAGCAGTATAAACCTAGCTTAACGAACACCACATGATTGTTTGGGAGTTAATGCCATGCTCTACCTCACTTGAGTTACCAAAAGTTCACATTTGAGTTAAACACATATACTACCATACACAATTAACTAGTGGTTTACAGAAGTGTAAAAGGATCAATCTACCTTTCATCCCCTAAAGCATGACTTTATCAAAATTACACTACTATCATCAACACAATCTTGGGTAAAAGAAAATAACTTGTCAATTATTCTCACCCATTCTATAGGCCAGGACGGACATGTATGGTAAAGGACCCTTACCTGTAGTAGATACAGATCGTCATGGTGATGACCCTTACCTGTAGTAGATACAAATCATCATGGTGATGACCCTTACCTGTAGTAGATACAGATTGTCATGGTGATGACCCTTACCTGTAGTAGATACAAGTCGTCATGGTGAAGACCCTTACCTGCACTAGATACAGATTGCCATGGTGATGACCCTTACCTGTAGTAGATACAGATCAGCATGGTGATGACCCTTACCTGTAGTAGATACAGATCGTCATGGTGATGACCCTTACCTGTAGTAGATACAAATCGTCATGGTGATGACCCTTACCTGTAGTAGATACAGATTGTCATGGTGATGACCCTTACCTGTAGTAAATACTGATTGTCATGGTGATGACCCTTACCTGCAATAGATACAGATCGTCATGGTGATGACCCTTACCTGCAGTAGATTCAGATTGTCATGGTGATGACCCCTACCTGTAGTAGATACAGATCGTCATGGGATGACCCTTACCTGCAGTAGATACAGATCATCATGGTGATGACCCCTACCTGTAGTAGATACAGATCGTCATGGTGATGACCCTTACCTGTAGTAGATTCGAATTGTCATTATTTCATCCTTCAATTGTTGATTTACCCTTATCTCTCTAGTAGATACTGCAGCAAGTCATGGTGTAATAAATATTAAATTCATCTTCACACTGTACTCATGAATCCATAAAAAATCATGATCACTTTCATTTGAAAATTCACTACAGATATTTGATAGCTGGAGTTTGGGCCATCAGAACTATCTCTCTCCTGAGTGACTGCTGCAAGTCTGGCCTGTAATAAATATTAAATTCATCTGTCACACTACACTCATGAATCCATAAAAAATCATGATCACTTTCATTCATGAAAATTCACAAATACAGATATTTGATAGTTTTGAGTTCAATGAAGAATTAAGCATCAGAACTGATCAAAACTTTCTTAGGATTTTCTTACCACAGAAGTTCTACTCTGATACTACAAGTATTGACTGACACAAACCTATAGTCCCCTCTGGTAGTACTGGTGGGGACTGACACAGTCCCCTCTGGTAGTACTGGTGGGGACTGACACAGTCCCCTCTGGTAGTACTGGTGGGGACTGACACAAACCTACAGTCCCCTCTGGTAGTACTGGTGGGGACTGACACAAACCTACAGTCCCCTTTGGTAGTACTGGTGGGGACTGACACAAAACTACAGTCCCCTCTGGTAGTACTGGTGGGGACTAACACAAACCGATAGTCCCCTCTGGTAGTACTGGTAGGGACTGACACAAAACTACAGCCCCCTCTGGTAGTACTGTTGGGGACTAACACAAACCTACAGTCCCCTCTGGTAGTACTGGTGGGGACTAACACAAACCGATAGTCCCTTCTGGTAGTACTGGTGGGGACTGACACAAACCTATAGTCCCCTCTGGTAGTATAGGTGGTAATGTTGAACATGATATTTGTCATATAAACTGGTTTACAATACTTGAGATTAGAATTGATAACTGAACATAAATCATGCAGAGCTCTGAGTTACAATGAGAGCGAGAGAAAGGAAAGGGGAGGGAACTCCTGATGTGTATGATGATGTTTATCAGCCAATACAATCCAGAATAATGCTAGGCTTGTGAGTCTCAGTACTGACAGATATTTTGTGGGTCATATACTTCAATACACATTTCCAGTTTTAACAAAAAGACCAACTTCTATAACAAATAAAACCTATACAGAAGCATTATATATTTCAGTTATCTTCAATTTTGAAATGCCTGGAGAACATTATAATTAACTTCAGCCTTGCTTATCTAGGTGTTGTTAGTTAATTACCATGCATCTTTAACTTATAGTTAACATACGGAGCCAACACATCACCCCTGTCTAAATGTTAAGAGGGATGGCTTGTTACAGGACCATAAAGTAGTACTAAATGTTAAATTCATGGCCAATGTAATTAATTAGTACAAGAAGTGAACTGATAGCAAGATAAACACTGTAGTTAATTTAAATACTAAAAAAATAATGATTTCATTCAATGTTCTGTATGAGTTAATATTATCACTGACTCTATTTTAATAAAAGACACAATTGATGTTCACTGATTACACAAAATAATAAGTTTGACATATTTTCTTTTTATTCTGCACTTTTGTAAATTTTATCTATGATCTGTGCATTATCAAGATGGCTGTTGTTTCGTGTAGTGACCGCTGCCTGGACAACACTGGACGACAGAAGTAATCTGGTGACCACTAAAGCCGGTGTCCACGTCTCTCTAATGAATGTTTGTTTTCCTTCACAGGTTAATAGCACCTTATGTAAGAACCTGGTAGTCGGTCAGATAACCTAGTCCCAACCCCTAAACCTCTTACTTATTTCTGTCCCTATGTTTCCCCACAGTATATAATATACAACTATTAAAGTTTTATTAATGTTTCCCCCCAATCTTCAGGTATTGAGGCCAATATCACATGACCCACAGACTACTTAGTGTGGTACAAGTTGCCACAGCGACTTCCCCTGGCAGATTTAATTCAAATCAATCAATGCACCATGACAGGAAAATTCCAATAGCAAAATGTATTAACACAGAGAATTGAACGTTGAAATGTTTATTGAAAATCACAAAAATCTAATAATGAAATATTCAGTATCCATTGTGGATTCATCATGAAGGTTGATAATTACTGACTGAGGAAATAACTTGTATAATGATAAATGGAAACAGTTTTGTAACATTCTATAAATAAAAATCTCTATTGCTTTTAAATATGTATTCAATGTATGATCTATTTTATAATAACTGGGGTTTTTTTTCATAGATTGTTTTCATTTTTTATCTATTAAAAATAGTAATATACAATTTAATTAATGATAAGAATAACAAATGTTCTGGTTCTTAATTCTAAATATATGCAAATCTTTAATATTTTTTCAATTACATATGCATTAAAATTGTACTTGCAAATGCAATTCACTCATTTGTAATAATTTACCTATTACATAAACCATTTGTTATAATTTACCTATTACATAAACCATTTGTTATAATTTAACTATTACATAATCCATTTGTAATAATTTACCTATTACATAAACCATTTGTTATAATTTACCTATTACATAAACCATTTGTTATAGTTTACCTATTACATAAACCATTTGTAATAATTTAACTATTACATAATCCATTTGTTATAATTTACATATTACATAAACCATTTGTAATTAAAATGAATAAAACATTAATAGCCCTAGAAAAATAGAAGTCTATTTCAGTAAATATCAGTAATTTGAAAATAAGAAATATCTGTACTGATTTTTGAAAATGTAATCTAGAATTTTAAATATAAAACAAAAATTAATACAGAACAACCATAGGTAGGGGGACCATTAGATCCTTAATGGTGACTAAACTTTAGCCAACATTTTCCTGTTTTTGTATAGATAGGTAGGTTGGAGTGTTAAATGGTGATCTCTCTGATCCTGATAACAGTAAATATGGTATGGTTTTCTCGTGGCAGTAAGAGACAATATCGGAATACAAAGGAAAACAAATTATGATTGTGTGGAAATATTTGTTGTCCCACAAAACTTAACGATAAACAATAAGGCATTTTCGCATTATAAATAATGTAAATTGCCTCCTTCCTGAACAGACGTAAATAATTACAAAATATATCACATTTCACATTTCATCAAACACAAATCGTTTTCACTTTTTTTTTTAGCCTGAGTGAGATAATTTTAACACACAGAACATGATCATGGAGAAAGTAAGATAACTTTTTTGTACCAGGAGCCTCCATCAGACCTTCGACATTACAACAGCAGTCTATATCTGTGACGACATTTCATATAAACTCATCAGGTATGAATTGTTTAACCCTCACCAATAAAATGATAGCCGAGGTAAGAACAAAATGCAAATTTACACAACACAGTGTATATAAACACTTGACACCCCGGAGAACAGTCGCAATGATAACGCTTGATCGTCAATGATCACAATGTATATTTATATCTGCAGGTAAACCATTCCTTGACTTTAATTCCCATCTGCATAGACTTGAATTGGTACTGTATTCACAAAGGGTAACAATATCGTGTGAAAAAGTGGACCACCTACAATTCACTGGTAAGTTCATTAAAATGGAATTTCGTCACTTTCCCTCGTTGTTATTTTATCCCGCTGATTAGCGTTGTCAGATTGTAGTGTTTGTTCTTGCTGTTTGCCTACATGATGTTGTTCACAAGTTGTACACAAAACCTATTTACCCTGTGTAAAGCTCGAGCCAATCTATGTCAACAGTCTTTAGCTCGTCATGAGATCACATGGCAAACAGGTTGGCCTCAACAAGGCAAATAAACTTTATTCATGACCCTTCATCCTTAAAAACACTCCTACAAAAACATGTGGGTCCGTTGTCAAATCTATAGATCTATCTCTCTATCCTATGCTCGTTATGGAGCGTCACCTCAGTCCTCGGAGCATCACACAACCATCAAATACCCATACGTACAACTGCACACATTTAAAAATGTTTCGTGTTTAAGCTTTGTTTATATTTCAATTGTTTGCTTAAAGCTGTTAAAAAAAGACAATTTGGTTTTTGTGTACATGCAGATCAATCTCTGTTGGTATTTGTCAAACATTAACAGTCAGTAAACCCTATAAACAGTGTTGACAACAATGGTAGAACCGACACAATGGTGGGGACGAGAATCGTAATGGCAGACATACTGTTGTAGCATCACTAATCCCATCCTCACAATATGATTTTGAACACCAATTCAAAATAAAAAGCCTGATATTTTTTTAAGAATTTTTGTTTTGTTTATTCATTTATTCTATCCTGATCTTTTCATCGTCTCTAGTGTGAAATCTGATTGACTATCCAAGTCCTCATGAAAGAACATTTATCGTCGTAATTTTTACATATAAACATTACTTAGTGCAGTTTTTAAACTTCATTGTATTTCATATATAAAGGACAGATTTTTGCTCTCCCTAGAGTCTTTTTTATCATTTAAATTCTCACACAAAGCTTTGAACAAACATAATTGATATTCAAAGAATTTCAGAGCAGTTGAGAAAAAAGCACAATCATTTGGGTTGGGTTTTTGGGAGTGTTATAACGTCAACATTTACAATGGCTCTATTTTAAAGTTACTTTTTTTTTTTTTTCAAACTTTATTTATTTTCCTAAAATGTGATAAAAATGATATTACCCAGACAGATATGAAAATCTGAGAGCTTAAGCAATCTGGACCAGAAAGGTTATGAATTAAATGAAAATCACCATTTGAATCAGGAAAGAGACCAGAAGAATGTTTTAATATGTGTAATATATATTACTGCAGTAAATCATTGTAAATCTGTATTTCACTTATTGGATACAGTTCTACACTGTCTGTGTAATCCTAAAACATCCTTCAGAACAGGCCGAAAAACTCTCGTACTCAACCACACCTGTCAGCTGCACCCAAATAAATCCTGATAAAATCAGATATCATTCTTCTCTTTATCCGTGGGACGGTGAAGTTTTATATTGGAGCTGAACAAGGTAGCCGAAAGTAGAAAACAATAAATAAATAATCAAATACACGTGGGATCAGTGCCAAAATCACCGAACACCAGTTCACTATATGCTGTACAACACAGAATCGTGTTGAAGACAGTTTTGGAGTGAAATCCAAGTCCCCAATAAATACCTAAATATTTGTTTTGGAATCATAAAAGGATTTACTACATAATGCGAGACTTGTTGATATCAAGCGCAATACTACGTAAGAAAACGGCTGACTTTGGCCTGTGATCTGTGGTTAGGAGAAACACAGAGACTGAATTATGTAACAGTATCCCTGGACTTACACCCCTCACCCGTTATTTGCTATTTGATCAGACATGGGACATACATCAATCGATAGCAATGAGAATCGAAATAAATCCGTTTGCGGTGATAGGGGACCAAAATCTTCAGTTATACACACAACAGCTCTGTCACTTCCTTAATGGAGATACAATTGCATGTGATTATATTAATCAGACAGTTTTAAAACACATGTCATAAGTTTGTAACATTTGGTATAAAGATAAAAAATCAAAGTACTAACCTTAAGGTTATGATCAGCTCCCTGCCGTTGCTGCCGGAGAAGTTCCTCTTCGTATCTTCGAGCCTAAAAGAAAAGAACGAAATATCTTTAATGCTACATTTATATTTTCTACTATTCTACTATTATATAAACAAAAAGTAACAAACCCTTGTCTTGTTTTACAAATCATTAAAATATTCAGCCTATATATGTCACTGCAAAGGCCACGCCTATGATAGGTACACATAATTATATTCTATAATTTTTCAACTATAATCTGATTTATCTCCCCTTATCATTGTGATTTCTCAGTGTTTCTAGAGATACCAGACCTTATATCACAACTTTCCATTCTCAATGTTACTAAAGTTACTTGTTATTATAAATTTTAACCTATACTGTTAAGCGTGTTACCTTGCCTTATCATTATAAAATAATAAACTTTCTTACTAGGGTTGTCTCCCCTTATCATTGTGATTTCTCAGTGTTTCTATAGATACCAGACCTTATATCACAACTTTCCATTCTCAATGTTACTAAAGTTACTTGTTATTATAAATTTTATCCTATATTGTTAAGCGTGTTACCTTGCCTTATCATTATAAAATAATAAACTTTCTTACTAGGGTTATCTCCCCTTATCCTGAAAGTTTCCACCCTTAATGTTACTGAGATTATCTCCCCTTTTCATAAAATTATCACCCTCATGGTGATACTGGAGTTATTTACCCTTATCATGATAAGTTATCATCCTTACTGTTAAAATGGTTATCTCCCCTAACAATCAAAGCGTATCCTCCATCTCCTACACTACACTACCTTATTACCTGGGGTATATGACCACCACCCCTATATTGAGCAGAACAATACCTTTGCCAAAGCAGCATCACGTTGTTCCAGTATGACCTGGATTTCTTCCGCAGTAATTTCCTGCTGTCTCCTCTTCCTCAATTCCAGCCTCTGTAGCAGTGTAGTGCACTCCTGTTCCACAGCATCTCCAGAATCAGGTCCTCCAAGCCTGGCCAGAAGCTGCTCCATACCCTAGAGTAGGACCACAGATCTTAGTGTCATACAATAAATACAGTTATACAGACAATGGCAATATATAAACAATGACATATTACAGGCAGTGGCATTATATAGATAGTTAGGTACTACAGGCAGTGGCATTATATAGATAGTTACATATTACAGGCAGTGGCATTATATAGATAGTTACGTATTACAGGCAGTGGCATTATATAGATAGTTACATATTACAGGCAGTGGCATTATATAGATAGTTACGTATTACAGGCAGTGTCATTATATAGATAGTTACATATTACAGGCAGTGGCATTATATAGATAGTTAGTACTACAGGCAGTGGCATTATATAGATAAGTACATATTACAGGCAGTGGCATTATATAGATAGTTACGTATTACAGGCAGTGGCATTACATCAACAATGACATATTACAGGCAGTGGCATTACAAAGACAGTGACATACTGCCGAATGTGGCATTAAGTAGACAGTGACATACTACACAATGTGGCATAATATAGACAGTAATATATTACAGACTGTGGTATAATTTCAGTGTGTGCCTAGTTTTTATTTTACAATCTTGACTTGGGTCAGAAAATCCACCCAATGATAGAAATAGAAGTGGCTACCTACATGTATAAATATGTTCTTTGCTCCATTTTTGCTGACCTGGTGACTAATGTAGGTATGTTGAATAAATCCAACAAATTCCAGTCCTCGACAATATTAACTCTCCTGGATCAAACATGCATTTGTTTATCACACTATCAAAGACATATACAGCATATCCCGGGTTATATAGACTGTGAACCCCTGCTGACTCCACTAGGCCCCAAATCATACCCTGATCAATAACCTTCATAAACTCTACAAAACCAGCTTTGTTACTCTTTCAGTTCTAAGTAATCCTCAACTTTATATTTCAGCATTAATTTTTCTGTCATACTTCCTGTCTGTTACTGGACATTTTTGGATCAATATGTTATTGATATCTAACATTATGATCAAATACCTTGTTCTACATGGCCGATGTATCTCAAACATTGAAGTGAAATTCATATAAGTCTGGTATGATTTTCACACCATAATTGTAACCTGGGCCTGTATCAGCCTCAGACCCAGTCCTCTAAATCAGTCCTCTTATAATTAGCTAAAGGAGGATTCAGATAAAATTTGGTTAAGATTTCTTAACCTGTACCAAGGAGAAATATTTCCCAAAAAGCCATATACCTCTGTACAAGAAACCATGGCAAAATCTCTTTTTATTAATTTGATAATTGTTGTCAAAAGACATGTCACCCAAGTGGAATCACCAGACAAGTTTAATTCTAACACATACCTGGTCTTCTTCATCTAAATCTTCATTGTCTGATCTCTCAGGTGTTCCGTAGCCCCTATAATAACATTAGCACACACTAGTCTATGGTACAAATAATGTAGCATGTATTTCTACTTGTAGCACAAATAGCTAGTTCACACATCTCTGTAACTTATAGCCCACACAGTTCATACATTTCTGTAACATGTTCACACACAGTTCACACATTTCTGTAACATGTTCACACACAGTTCACACATTTCTTTAACATGTAGCCCACACAGTTCACACATTTCTGTAACATGTAGCCCACACAGTTCATACATTTCTGTAACATGTAGCCCACACAGTTCACACATTCCTGTAACATGTAGCCCACACAGTTCATACATTTCTGTAACATGTAGCCCACACAGTTCACACATTTCTGTAACATGTAGCCCACACAGTTCACACATTTCTGTAACATGTAGCCCACACAGTTCATACATTTCTGTAACATGTAGCCCACACAGTTCACACATTTCTGTAACATGTAGCTCACACAGTTCACACATTCCTGTAACATGTAGCCCACACAGTTCACACATTTCTGTAACATGTAGCCCACATAGTTCACACATTCCTGTAACATGTTCACACACAGTTCACACATTTCTGTAACATGTTCACACACAGTTCACACATTTCTGTAACATGTAGCCCAAACAGTTCACATATTTCTGTAACATGTAGCTCACACAGTTCACACATTCCTGTAACATGTAGTCCACATAGTTAACACATTTCTGTAACATGTTCACACACAGTTCACACATTTTGTATCAAGTACAATTCTATCATTTCTAGCACACACAGTTAAAGCTAAGTTCTAAGACTTTCAGCACACACATGTAACACTTTTCTATGACTTCTAGCACGCATGGTTCACTTTTCTATGACTTCTAGCACACATGGTTCACTTTTCTATGACTTTAGCACACATGGTTCACTTTTCTATGACTTAAGCACACATGGTTCACATTTCTATGACTTTAGCACACATGGTTCACTTTTCTATGACTTCTAGCACACATGGTTCACTTTTCTATGACTTCTAGCACACATGGTTCACTTTTCAATGACTTCTAGCACACATGGTTCACTTTTCTATTTTCTATGACTTTAGCACACATGGTTCACTTTTCTATGACTTCTAGCACACATGGTTCACTTTTCTATGACTTCTAGCACACATGGTTCACTTTTCAATGACTTCTAGCACACATGGTTCACTTTTCTATGACTTCTAGCACACATGGTTCACTTTTCTATGACTTCTAGCACACATGGTTCACTTTTCTATGACTTTAGCACACATGGTTCACTTTTCTATGACTTTTAGCACATGTGGTTCACTTTTCTATGACTTCTAGCACACGTGGTTCACTTTTTTATGACATCTAGCACACATGGTTCACTTTTCTATGACTTTAGCACACATGTTTCACTTTTCTATGACTTCTAGCACACGTGGTTCACTTTTTTATGACATCTAGCACACATGGTTCACTTTTCTATGACTTTAGCAGATACAGTTCACACATTTTATATGACTTATAGCACACACACTTTTATATGACTCATAGCACCTGTAGTTCCACAGTTACAGTCCTGTAATATATATGTACATTTCTAAAACACACATCTTAACTTTCTTAAGGCTGAATGATGAATTTATTTAACTTGCAGCACACATATTTCCATGATCCATTAAAACACAGTTTTCTATATCATAAAGTTCAAATATATCTATGACAAAACACAATTTTTAAAGACTTATAGCACACAAGTTTCTATGATGTAACACAAATATATCTATGACAAAACACTATTATTAATGACTTAGCACACAAGTTTCTATGATGTAACACACATATTTCTATGACTAAACACAATTTTTAATGACTTAGCACACAAGTTTCTATGATGTAACACACATATTTCTATGACTAAACACGATTATTAATCATTTAGCATTCAAGCTTCTATCACTTAACACAAATTTCTATGACTTCACGTGAAATATTTTTATGACTAATAACACACATTTCTAGGACTTGAAGCACACAAAGGGTGTTTTCAACTTACTGGTCCTCAAGTCGTATCTCTGCATTACGTAATCTGAGCGAGGCCTCATCTCGCTCCTGATTGGCTACCTTGATTCTGTTCATTAAGGATTCATCTCGCTTCTTCTGAGCAGAGTGGATCTCCTGAACAAGAGCTACAACAGTAAATATACAGAGATGAATTAAATGAAAAATTCCAACAGAAGGTAAGTAGGGTGGTCATTGACTTAGTGGCGATGTGCTTGTCATTTATCTAGGTGACCATGTTTTGATAGCCCAATCCGACATGAAAAAGTACGATGAACCTGCCGTGTGGGGTTCCCTATTCTTGTTTCCTCCCACAGTAAGACCTCTTGCAGACTTCCATCCAGGCCAACAAGAGAGAATTGTAAAGGTTGTAAAATTGTTGTAAAAAACGTAAAGTTTGTGTATCAATATTACAAACTACATCTCTATCGTTATCACAGAAGCTGATAAAGGTAAATCAGTAGTGATAGTAATTAGAGATTTTAATCGTGAATGTTGACACAATATGCGTTGCTGAAGTTAACATATCAGCATGTGATGATTTTGATACAGAAGCACACATACTTATTGATTATCTGATTCAGACCCACAAAGAATGTTTTTACAAGGAGGAAATTTTCTCTAAAATTTTATGCACAAATTATGTTATTTTCATGGCTTGCCTAAAATTCATAAAAGCTAAATTTTAAGTAAAATAGAACAAATCTCTACCTATAAGCCTTTACAATAATATTCCTCATGATCTTGGTCATGAGGTTGAATTCCCAAATTATTAATAAACTATAAACGCTTTAGATAATATTCTCAACCAATTTGGGTTGATCATGTGGCACAGTGGTAACACACTCGCCTTTCACCTAGCCGTCCGGGGTTCGATTCCCGGAACTGGAGTGAAAAGATAAGGGGTCACCTGCCCAGGACGTGGGTTTTCCCCGGGTACTCTGGTTTCTTCCCACAGTAAGATCCCTCACATGCTTCCATCTTGATCAACAACACTGATGAGTTTAAGCTGAAATATCTTGTTTCACGATAGTTGCAAAATGAATAAGGTTTATATTATTCTTAATCGATATTCATTAAATTTTGATCAGGAATATTTTCAACAAATCAATTGTGTAGCGATGGCTACTAAGGCAGACCCTCCATATGCTACCACAGGTTTAGGATACTTTGAGGAAATACCTCAAAAGTTGATGCAAAGTTGGAGAAAATTTTGTTGATTTTTTTTAATGATTATATTATCAGATGGCATCACGATAAATTGTTTGCTCCATTCGAGTAAACATACTAAGGTTAAGGTTCTTTTTAATCTTGTATCAAGAATTGTAACTATGGTTAGCAAAAGGCAATTACAGCATATCAGACAATGCCAAATGAAACAATACATCAGAGCTCAGAATTATCCAATGAAGGTGATATAAAACGTAATACACTACCAATTTCTCATAATGTTCGATAACGTTAAGATAATATCATTTTATTTGTCTTCCTTCATCAGTTGTGTCTCAATTTCCAAAATATACATAAAAAATTAAAAAGATGAAAGCAACACGATAGCGGATTTTATCCGATTAATTATTCAACTGATGCACAACGTTTTTACCTACGTATATATTCATTGCTACCAACTGTCAAATATAGTTACTAATAGTTACTGTTTGTCAACAGTCACAATCGTAAGCTATCAGTATTAGAAAAGTAATCATTGTGTGTACTTTCCATATTTTACATACATTTGTCAGTCATTTAGTTGTCTTGAAAACCATTCCAGAGTAAGTATATAATCCAAAGATATATTTCTACTGATATCAATGATTTCTGTGTCATTAGGAAACTTAATCATCAAATATTATGATCCAAAAACTTATCAAGTATTTTCGTTTCTATTTTTAGATTTACCAGGATTTTTTTTCCTTCCTGAATGTACAGGTACTTTTGATAATCAGGAGATTCTAGTTAAAACCACTGAAGATTGAAAAAAATTAATCATTTTTTTATGATTAATATTTATCAAATCCTAACAATCCTGATTTAAAAAAATGATATTATTGTAAAGACCTCAACAAAATAGCACTTTTTCAGAAAAGGTCTACTTTTAATTACTTTTCAATGATTCGTCTCCCCTATCTAACATACTAAACACCAGGAAACTTTTCCCACCATTCATATTTTCACTCTTAAATTACAAAGTATGTTTACAATGTAACAAATGTTTTACAGCAAAATATGGGAAAAAAATTATGCTGTTTTCTTGGACAAGTATCAAACAAGGCCGAATTCAGTTTTTTTATTCATCCTAGGGGGACCGTTTTCCACAATGAATTTTTTCTAATAAACATTTAAAAGACAGAGACTTGGGACCATTTAACATAAAGTGTTGAACCCAAATGACAAATGAAACCTCAAGACAAATGACACTTTTTTCATATTTCTTGGAAGATCTCTTCCTAGTTCCTCCAGGCAATTTAAATGAAGATTTGGTATTCATGAGCCAGACATATTTCAACATCCATCATTATGTGTTTTATCAATAAGAAAACTTCATACACTTTATCACTAATGTATACCTATCATTTCAGTTTTCAAAGAAACAAAAAACAATTAATAAACTATAGTGGCAGAGAATTTCAGAAGTATAGATTTTCAAAATCAATTAACTTTTAATTGATTGTAGCATTCAAAAGTTTTCAAATTGTTTCTTTCTGAGAAATTCTATAGAAGAGATACAGTTGGTGAGGAGATAATATAACTCAATGATATTATCGAACATCACATTTAATTCATTTTGCATAGGGTCTGTTATCTGATGGTGTCAAGTTATACACAGTCATAAACCCAACTCGTCCGACATGAATGCCCATCCCGTGTATTCAGGAAAACGTTTAGGGTCATTAATACACGATAAATTGGTTGCACCTGCTAATTCAATGGTGATAATTTGTCTCCGACAGCCAAGGTAAAAAGCAATAGACGTCGACGTCATTATGGAACAATACCCTGCTCCCTACTATGTAAGCGAACCATGCCAGTCTCCTGATGATTGATATGTGCCATGTTTATTTCCCAATCCCGGAAAAAATATGACAATTTAAAACACAAAATGCACTATGTAGGATACCGGTATTATGGCACTGCCAATCAATTTTTAAAACTAAAACATGCAAGAATGATACATGTAGTTGTCTGCATGATTGAACGGGACAGGAACGCTTAGACATCAAAGTGAAAAATTGTCTCTTTAAATGGCTAGTGTAACACTAGCATTAATTGCTGGGAATCAATAAGCACATTGAAAACTTGTGGAGTATCATCCATCTTGTCGTCACGGTAACTCAGCAGCTGAATCTAATCAATATGCGGATCTGACTACCTGAAGATATGATAGGTCGATCTCTCAGACCGTGGTATCACTGTACAGCTCTTGAGTAAATGTTCTAGGCATTTTATTGTAATCACGCTAACGTCATGGCATTTACACGTTATATAAAAACAGTTGAGAATGAGAATGGGATTTGATTGTTAACTATAATTGTAAAATTGTCCTCCGTCACGGTAATGTCCCAGATTCTGTTGTATTTTGATTTATGGGATAGCTATTTCATATGGTCGGTAGTGTTGAAAGGATTACTTTAATAAGGAAATGTATGAACATTTGTACAGTGTAGCAGGAAATGTAGTTCGCAATCATTTCCCAGTCAACAGGAAAAGATAAGATACCATAACATAGCACAGTCGACTTCATCATAATGTGAAGGATTTAAAGGTAAATGATATAAATACAATCATATCCAATTACACTGTTGTTTGTGGAATAAACTACAAAATCTATCAAAACCATATTATTTCTTTACAAAATAGAAAAATCCTGAACTTAATGGAAACTTACCCGGACTTTACTTGAATATCAAAAATATTAAGCAGTAACAGGTATCAATTAACACACATTTAAACTTTACTAAAAACCAACCTGATTCTAAATTTCCTTGTGTCAATATAATAATATTACCCGATATATCTATTGTTCATATCATAATTACAACCGGTATATATTGTATATATGTTTGCTTAATCTGGTGTCAGTCAGATGGAAAAATTAAAATTATTCTACGTTAGAAATAAAAACAAAGTAAGCAGGTCACAAGGTCTCACATCAATCCTAAGTCAAATTTTGGCATATTCTTCTCTGTAATTTGGTGTGTTAAATTTTGGCATATTTGTCTCTGTAATTTGGTGTGTTAAATTTTGGCATATTTGTCTCTGTAATTTGGTGTGTTAAATTTTGGCATATTCGTCTCTGTAATTTGGTGTGTTAAATTTTGGCATATTCTTCTCTGTAATTTGGAGTGATAAATTTTGGCATATTCGTCATTGTAATTTAGAGTGTTGCCAGATGCAAATAAACCAAACTACAACCACAACCAAAATATCCTAATTCATGGCATCACAGTCATTATAAATGACATAGTTTTGCAAGGCTTGGATACAATATAAAGTTTGTTTGTAAAACTATGTCGTTCATAATGAACATAAATGCCATAAAAAGACACTTCAAGGCTAACATTATGTCAATACACATAAGACTTGATAACACTAACACTGACCTGCAGCTTTTTCTCCATCTGAATTGTAGTGGCGGTCAGTACTGGACGTCTTCGAGGACAATTTGGAGGTTTCCATTTCAATTTCCATATCTGCCAATCTGTCTACCAACTGGACATAGAAAAATGGCAAAGGGTTAGTTTGAATTATTTTTTCAATTCAAATTTGATTTATCTTCGATTAAATAAAGTAAAAAGCCCATAATGTAGATTTCCTAACAAATTCATTTTTCATCTGAGAAATATTCAATTATCAAAAAAGTCCAAGTAATCCTGTTTATCAATAGAGTAAATTTTAGTTCAGTATTCTATAAATAACCATACTAACTAACCTACCTTTTTATTACAAGCTTTTTCAGTATCCAGCTCTGCCAACAATAGTGCAATCTGTTTTGCTTGGTCTTCTGGACGATTGGTATTGGACAAATAACCAGCCATATTGTTTGCAAACCTTGGATAGTTTGGGTCGACCATGTATGGAGAGAAAGATGGTGATAGGTGACTGTAAGGAGACAACTTGGCTGTGTCGTTGGACTGACCTTCGCCTGATGACTCTGGAAGGTCCCCATTCTCCCCTCTTGTCTGGGGACTAGATTGTGAATCTCCGACCTTCAAAGGCTTGTCTATGTGTTCTCCAGATGTGTTTGCTGATCCAGGAACACTAGGGCTGTACCTCTGTGGCATAGTAGGGGGTCTAATTCCAGGACTGTAGTAACGAGGTGGTGACAGAAAACTGCCTTGGTGATAGGGGCCACCCATGTAATTAGACATATAGGGAGCGACAGGCTGCATGTACATTGATGCTGTGGGCATGCCCATAAATGGAAGGAAAGGACGAGGAGGAGTAGCCTGGCCTGGACTCGGCTGTTTTCCATGTACACCTGAATCTTTATCACCACCCACAGCAGTAGCATTCTCCTCATCTACATCAAAAATTTTACATGTATTAAGAAACAAGATCATCCTGATTCCATTCCTCGTCTAAACTTTAAGACATTGGAAATATTTCATTAGCTTGCTCAACACTATGATCAGCTGTTGCTGTATAGCTAGGAGATTGCACTCCTTTCGTCAAGGTCATTTGTACCATGGCAAACAGAAAAGTTTTTATATAAATTAGGTGAAAATGTCTTCAACCATTCTAAAGAGTAGTCTGTTTCATTCTTACATACTTTTATTCATATTTGGCTCTGTCTCATTTCCAATGAAAGTTGAACACAACTTTCAGTTATTTTTAAAACATAGAATTTATAACTAAGGTAAAATTCTGCTCCACCTATAGCTATGTAATCTAAAACTTGGGTAGAGAAAAGTTCAGTTGACACAAATATAATCTGAGACATTGACCATGAACATACCTACCTGACAATGGTAGTTTATTGTCTCTGATAATTTGTCTCTCCAGGTCATCTATTACGGGGTTTCTGTAATCAAAAGCATCAAAGTATAGCATCCTTCTATACAACATCTGTAACATGTATCTACAATGTAACATTTACATTACAAAGTTATATATACCATACTATACAACACATTTTTACATTTTCACTTTTTGTGCAAGAAAAAAAGAATTTCTCTTGAAAGGCAGGTTATTGTTTGCGTGTTTTACAACATTAAATGGATTGACCATGTACCATAGGCTTAGATCAATGTCCAGAAATATACTTTTCTTGATATCAAATTAAAACTTTTAACAGGGTGAGAGAGAACCAACATCCTGGTTGTCTTTAGTCATAGATCGGATCATGAAGGAAATCAAAGATGGATACCCAATACATTTCAATAGAGCCATGACAGAGCGGATGGCGCATCAACACCTGGATTCCATGGGTTTATTTTTTAAAATTTTTTTTTTGTAGTTTACATGTTTCAGCTAGCTAGGCTACTTATGATCAAAACCAAGTACAAAACCAAGGAATTAATATGTTGATGCTTCTTTGCTATATGTATTTTCTTATTATTAGACCAGGGGTGGGGGTGAGGGGGTGGGGGGATGGGGGGGGTGTGGCTTCCTTCGTAAGATTCTTCATTAACAAGTGAATGAGGGTATTCTTTGCCCCAAAAGTGACATAATATACAATATGATTTAAACAAGGAGTCTATTATTGTTGTGCTTAGTAAAATCAACATCAATATCAAGATATAAACAAATTTAAAGTGGATAATTATGTTGGTAAACACAACAACATTTTCTCCAATATTTAAACATGCAGCTCTTTTATCATGAAGGCTTCATCCCCATTGTCTGTCTGTATACACTGTATTAGCAGAGGTTTGTGTATTTGAACACAATTCTAGCTAAACTGTGTCACTACAACTCAAATATGTCTGTATGTCTAGCAAATCTTAGCAGAAGATGATAACTCATTCTTCAAATATGTCCGACAGATAATTTCTGTTGATTTAACAAAAGCAGACAAACAGGCCATCTTTACCCTGAGTAAACTTTGCAGAGGGGGAGGAAAGACAGGCTTTTTACCTCACTGTTAAGGTATTGTGTACAGTGGTAATGACAGTAATATCCCTGATAATTGTAGAGATGATACCCCCCCCCCCACCTCACCCCGAACCACCACTCAGTCACAATCATTAAACTCCATCATATCACTAACACTATTTATTTGTTAACTGCAAAACAATCAATCTGTTTGGTATGACAATGCTCACACTGATTACACAGTTAACAAATTATTTATCCAAGATAAAACTGGCAAATTTACCCACAAACTCCAAACAAGAACATAGGGCAGAGGTGTGTGTGTGGGCCATCAGCCAGCCGATACAGTAGCTGTCAACTCCATTGTGTATTCTAGATAAACAGCCTATTTAAACTGGAGTTTTACAAATTTGTTTTCTGAGATAAATATGATGAGGAATATTTGCTACATTGTATCTATATAAACAAAACTCCCGTCAAAACATTGCTCTACTGATCAGTCATAACATTAGTCTGTATTTAGGTGGCCACAGTAGGACTTGGAATAGCGACTATGGACTTATCCAGGTATGATACTAGCCAACCATAACTACCATACATTTAGTAATGTCAAATTTAATGTTGAATTAATAGGTAATATCTTCACCGTCACATGTAAATATATAGTATTGTCACAGTCACATGTAAATATATAGTATTGTCACAGTCACTTATAAATATATAGTATTGTCACAGTCACATGTAAATATAGAGTATTGTCACAGTCACATGTAAATATATAGTATTGTCACAGTCACATGTAAATATAGAGTATTGTCACAGTTACTTGTAAAAAATATAGTAATGTCACAGTCACTTGTAAATATATAGTATTGTCACAGTCACATGTAAATATAGAGTACTGACACAGTCACATGTAAATATATAGTATTGTCACAGTCACATGTAAATATAGAGTATTGTCACAGTCACTTGTAAAATGTAGTATTGTCACAGTCACATATAAATATAGTATTGTCACAGTCAGATGTAAATATATAGTATTGTCACAGTCACTTGTAAATATATAGTATTGTCACAGTTACTTGTAAATATATCGTATTGTCACAGTCACATGTAAATATAGAGTATTGTCACAGTCACTTGTAAAATGTAGTATTGTCACAGTCACATGTAAATATAGTATTGTCACAGTCACATGTAAATATATAGTATTGTCACAGTCACATGTAAATATATAGTATTGTCACAGTCAGATGTAAATATATAGTATTGTCACAGTCACTTGTAAATATATAGTATTGTCACAGTTACTTGTAAAATATAGTAATGTCACAGTCACTTTTAAATATAGAGTATTGTCACAGTCACTTGTAAATATATAGTATTGTCACAGTCACTTTTAAAATATAGTAATGTCACAGTCACTTGTAAATATAGAGTATTGTCACAGTCACATGTAAATATGCAGTAATGTCACATTCACATGTAAATATATAGTATTGTCACAACCACATGTAAATATAGAGTATTGTCACAACCACATGTAAATATAGAGTATTGTCACAAGTAAATATAAATATTATTGTCACAACCACATGTAAATATATAGTATTGTCACAGTCACTTTTAAAATATAGTAATGTCACAGTCACTTGTAAATATAGAGTATTGTCACAACCACATGTAAATATAGAGTATTGTCACAGTCACATGTAAATATGCAGTAATGTCACAACCACATGTAAATATATAGTATTGTCACAGTCACATGTAAATATATAGTATTGTCACAACCACATGTAAATATAGAGTATTGTCACAACCACATGTAAATATATAGTATTGTCACAACCACATGTAAATATAGAGTATTGTCAAAACCACATGTAAATATATAGTATTGTCACAGTCACATGTAAATATATAGTATTGTCACAACCACATGTAAATATAGAGTATTGTCACAACCACATGTAAATATGCAGTAATGTCACATTCACATGTAAATATATAGTATTGTCACAACCACATGTAAATATAGAGTATTGTCACAACCACATGTAAATATAGAGTATTGTCACAACCACAAGTAAATATAGATTATTGTCACAACCACATGTAAATATATAGTATTGTCACAGTCACATGTAAATATATAGTATTGTCACAACCACATGTAAATATAGAGTATTGTCACAACCACATGTAAATATATAGTATTGTCACAACCACATGTAAATATAGAGTATTGTCAAAACCACATATAAATATATAGTATTGTCACAGGCACATGTAAATATATAGGATATTGTCACAGTCACATGTAAAATATAGTATTGTCACAGTCACTTGTAAATATATAGTAATGTCACAGTCACTTGTAAAATATATACTTTGCAGTATTGTCACATTCACTATTGTAAACATGTTTCATTACAGCTGACAGTAAATTTATCATTAAAATATAGAGACAGAATTAACAACAAGGGCTGGAAATGGACTATATGAGGTGAGTGAAGGTTTTGTTGTGATAAAATTGTTGACCAAGGTTTGTCTCCTAATCAGGACCTGAATTCATCATTTTGGCCCAAGCAAACAGATCATCCATCACAGATTACCAGTGTTGATTGGACACCTAATATTCTCAGATTCATTACCACTTAAAGCCAGCTTGATAAGAGAAACATGCAAATAACGGTGACCCTCTTTGACCCTATTTCAACCTGATGGAAAGACTTAGTGTGGAACTCTCTATCCAGGGAGGTTAATTATGGTATGGGTCCAAATTTACCTCTACAAACAACACTGAATTACTGTGTATTGACAGAGGAAAAATTGCACAAATTTCATCAAACATAATTGAATAAGTTGATGTTTGCTCTGCGAGACGCTTCTGACAGTTCAAACAGTCTTGCCCAGATCGTTTGTCCAAGGTTTGACAGACATGGGGCAAGGCTCAACCTGTGGGGAATACAAGACTAGCAATCCAATCATGCACCTTCTACCTCTACAATATAAATCTCATTTACACCAACTCAAGTGCTCCAATCCAGCCAGATATCCTCAGTTAGTGAAAAATATTTATTGTTTTTTCCACATGAGGTAAAAACAAAGACCACAATCCCGAAGGTGGGTTTACTGTTAGGGCTGTAGTTCTGTACTATAGCTCATAGAAAAATATCATGTTTTTTTCCTATAAAAGGTTATTACAGCCAATGACAATGGGCCTTACAAATCAAGGCATGCCGCCAAACAAGGAAACAGGAGCAGAATCCCATTCAAGTTAACGGTAGGAATGACAATAAAGGCGAAATGTAAACACAATCCATTCTGGTGCACTGAAAGATACAACAATGAATTAAAAAAATCACCATCATTAATTCTCCACTCTTTAGTCCCATTGTACCAAACAACCCAGCTCAGTGATAAAGCCTTAAAAAACACTTTTTTTCATGCATTTGTACATCGCAATATCTGAATCATATTCAGAAGGCTTTCATAGCTCTGTCCGTTCTAAACAATCAATAAATATTACTATGTTAGACAGATTTCACATTCAAAACACAACCAAGAAATGATATTGTCGTTAATGCATGATGCTATTGGAGTCGTTAAGTTCGCGCCAAAAAGAGGGCGCTGTTCAAGTCTGATGTAGAATCAGCCAGTTAATTACTGACGACCAGCTTCTCATCAGTAAGAGCCGTGAAATATGACAAAATGATTGGTGAAATTCATCACGCCTAGCTCTCCAGGCCAAGTGTGTGTGCAACTTCAACATTAAACCACATGATTATTTCAGAAATAATTCCTGTTAGGCGAGATTAATTGGAAAACATATACTTTAGCAAAAAGACACATTGAAGAATTGACGTCCATGATGAAATCATTCTACGGCTTCAGAACAGATGTAGATGTTGACATTTACGCTACCACATCTTAATTAATTAAACTAAAAATTACTGTTTATTCAAACTTGAATTAAAA